TCTTAATCCCTAGTTGCACTTTTGTATAAGGGATGCGTTCCCCTCTTGAATGCCTATTTTATTTTAATTATTACTTATCAAAAAATTGAAAACATTTTCCTTTAAAAGGAAAAAAAAAAAAAAAAAAAAAAAATGACTTCAAAGTTCTTTGAGCAAGCAATATTCACACTGTGAGTTACGCGGTGCGCAAGCTGTTAGTTGATTTAGTTGTGATTAAATCCCTAAATGACCTAGATGAGATTATTAGGTCAACTTGCTCAATTTTTGTGATTGATTAATTTACTTAAGTAATATGATCAATTAAACATCCAAAATCCCAAAGATAAATACTAAAAAGTAAAGCAAGTAAAGTTAGAGAGATAACAACAGGATTTTTAGCAAGGAAACCCCGACTGGTGGAAATCTACCAATCGTTATGGGAAAAACCTAGTGGACTATGTCGTCCAGTGTAATACGATTCACTAAGTTTGAAGCAAAGTACGCTGAACTTTGACTCAGGCTCACACCCTATCGTTCTACCAAAAACCAACTGCTAACAATCCCTAGCTTTGCGACTCCCGTCCAACAGCTCTTAACTTCAGGCTCACTCTTGATCTCTATAGAAGGATTGCCGATAGATCAAACAACACTTTACAAATGCTTTGACCACCCCTTTAAAGTGTGATCGCTAAACCCCTTTTCTTCAGATCTGAATTTGATGAAACATGAATGAATTCTGCTTTTCGGAATCTCTGAATCTTTAATTATGCTCCAATTCCAATGAGATAGAGAACAACACTACTAAATCACTCGTGTATATATGTGTGTGTTCTCAAAACAAAAACAGAAAAATTAGATTTGATTTTCTGAAAAATATCTCTCAAAAGGCTCTCTCAAAATAATGAATTTTTGTTCCAAAAAGCCATACCTTAATGTTGAATAAAAGAGAGATTATATAGAAATTTGGAAGACCTAAAGATACTTGGAAACCAAGTCAAATTCGTGCATAGGTTTTTGGAAGGAAGTCTACCCACAATAGGAATCAAATCAGACCAGGAAGGTAAGTTACCAAAATAGATCTAAAGACCTTGAACCGGTTCAGGGTGGTTGAAACGGTTCAAGTTGGCCAGTAAGTTTTCGAAGAAAACAATCTAAACTTTCTGTGACACTTGAACCGGTTCAACCCCTGAACCGGTTCAAGTTGGCCAGACTTGAATTCCACCAAAAAGCCTCAAAAGTTGAACCTGTTCCAAAATTCTTGAACCAGTTCAAGTTGGGTGGAATGTAAAAGCTTCCTAAAAACTTGTGTTTTAAACTTCTAAAACTTCCCAAGTGTTTCCACACACTCACATACCTTTCTAAAACATTGTTCTCATCAACACGTAGTGTATTAAAGCATGAACACTTGAACTTCTTCAAATTCGCTTCCGATCTTGAATCTTGAAATTTTGAACCAAAATTTTGCAACTCGATCGAACTCGTTTTGACAACGACATTAGCGAATTATAAAATATATATCTCACAATCTCCCCCTTTGGCAATTTCGTGACAAAACCCTAAAAACATGTAATCTACCCAAGCAGAAAAGGCAAATTACAATGATTGTCAAAGAAATAAAACGCCGAAATTTTCTTGAACCACATGAAGCTTCAACACTTGTAGCATCTCGAACCTGTAATTTGTACATGAGCTCAACAAAACTACCCGTGAAGCTTAATTAAGAAAGATAAACACAAACATAAAATAGCAATGAAAAGCTAATAATACCCGAAAGTCAAAGCAATGCAAATGCAATGATCAAGGCTATGTTTGGGGGAGCTTTCAGTTTCTAAAATTCCTTCCACTAAATCGACTTTGAAGAATGCATTTTGATGAAAAGAATTTAAAACAAAAAAGTTGTTTGGTAGGTAATTTTTTGAAAGAGATGTAAAAAGAATGAAAGAAAAATAAAACGATAGAGAGATATGGCAGCAAAAATATCCAATTTATATATATATATATATATTTTTGAGATAAAGAAAAGTTATTTAGAATTCTACATAGGATTTAATTTTGGATGAGAGTTCATAAATCTTAGAACTCTTCAGGCTTTGAAGTCAAATAGGAGTCAATAGTAATTTTTCCTACAACTCCTAAATCTTTTTGTTCTTGCTTTGTTGAATCTTTTTTCAACAATATTTTTTTCAATAAAGTTTTGAAATTTTGCTCAGCATTTTTTTTAAATTTTTTTTTGGGTAAAAACGAACAAAGAAGATGATGTAGAAAGAGAAAGATAAAAGTTTGCAATGAAATTCAGAAATAGAAATAGGTTAAATAATGGACAATATAGGAATTTTATATCTATTACTTAAAAAAGTGTGTAGCTTGCGGGAAGTCGATTGGGAAGCATGTTTTATTGGCTTTAGTCAATCGGGCTTCTAAACTACTTAAACTTTTTAAAAGACCGTTTTTAAAAAATTTACCAAACGCTGTTTATTATTGGCAAAGGGCTTTCTGGGCTTAGAAGCCCGTTTTGAGGTTACAGGAAGCCCAGCCAAACAGGCCCCAAGTGTTTCCCCCCTCAATGCAATAGTATCTCTTCCCCTGAATGATAACACTGTCAACTCTCTCCCCCTTTTTTGTCAGAAATGGACAAGGGTCTAAAGGAAGAAATATCCCAGAAGAAGGAAGCAACCAACCATATAGAACTTGTAAATTGAACCCAATGAGAATATAGACTCTACAAGACTGTATGATCAAAACAAATATAACCGAGATCAATTCATTGAAGTTCTACAAACTTAGTAAGTGTAGTAAAATTACCACCAAGTTCCAAAAACATATATTCTGTCAATTATTTCGATTTCAGACAATAAATCAATGATATCACATATACTTAGAAATCAAACAATCAACATGTGCAAAAGACCCCTTTTTTTTTTTTTACTCTCTTTGTGCTCCATTTTCTTTTTGCACATTTGGCGACTTTTATGCTTATGGGTAGTCAGCTCTTTCCGTTATTTCCATTTGTTTCGAATCAAAGTAGCTTCGTATAAATCCCAAAGGTAGCCTTTTCCAATTCTCACATATTTCCATCAGCAAATATTTTTTATATATATAAAACTTTTCATTCCATGCTGTTTTTCATTTCATTTTCACTGTTTTTTTTTTTTTAACTTGTCACTCTTTTGGTCTAAAACACATAAAGCAAGTTTAAATTCCAAGACAATGCTTAATCATGTTAATATCATCTTTGACCAAAACAATGACATAAAAAATATGTAAATGTACTATCAATGAACCATTTACTATACGAAATAATTAAGCAAAATCAATTTCATCAATTTATAGCCATAGTATGTTTTACACAAATAATCTATGTGTCAGTAAATTACTTGTGTTCAACATACTCAATCAATATGGTTTGCTTGACTTCCCAAAAAAAAAAAATCCTAGGCTCCACCAAACTAGAAGCATAATCTAGATACTCAAGATATGTATGAAGATCCTTTTTAGATTATGTCTATGCAATGCATTCTAATCAAGACAACAAACGCCTATAGATTTCCTAAGATGAGAAAATGTAGGAGTATCTAATGGCTTGGTGAGAATATCAGCCAAATTCTTATCAGTGTGCACTTTTTCCAAAGACACGACATTTTGTTTGACTAGTTCCCTAAGAAAATGATGTTGAATGTCAATGTGCTTAGTCCTAGAATGCAAAACACCAGGATTTTTAGTGAGGAAACCCCGACTGGTGGAAATCTACCAATCGTTATGGGAAAAACCTTGTGGACTACGATCCACTATTTTATTTATTTATTTTTTTTTTTTTTTTTTTGGGAAGGTAAAACGATCCACTATGTTTTAAGCCAAGTACACTGAACTTTGACTTAGACTTACACCCTATCATTCTACCAAAAACCAACTGCAAACAATCCCTAGCTTTGCGACTCCCATCCAATAGCCCTTGACTTCAGACTCACTCTTGATCTTTGTAGAAGGATTGCTGGTAAATTAAACAACACTCCACGAATGCTTTGACCCCTTCAAAGTGTGATCGCTTCATCCTTTTTCTTTAGATTTGAATTTGATGAAGAATGAATGAATTTTGCTTTTCGGAATCTCTGAATCTTCAATTATGCTCCAATTCCGATGAGATAGAGAACAACACTACTAAATCACTCGTGTATATATGTGTGTGTTCTCAAAACAAAAATAGAAAAATCATATTTGATTTTCTGAAAAATATCTCTAAAAAGGCTTTCTCAAAATAATGAATTTTGTTCCAAAAAGCCATACCTCAATGTTGAATAAAAGAGAGATTGTATAGAAGTTTGGAAAACGTAAAGATACTTGGAAACCAAGTCAAATTCGTGCATAGGTTTTTGGAAGGAAGTCTAACCACAATAAGAATCAAAACAGACCAGGAAGGTAAGTTATCAACACAGATCTGAAGACCTTGAACTGGTTTAGGGTGGTTGAACCTGTTCAAGTTGGCCAGTAAGTTTTCGAAGAAAACAATCTAAATTTTCTGTGACACTTGAACTAGTTCAGGGTGGTTGAACCGGTTCAAGTTGGCAAGACTTGAATTCCACCAAAAAAACCTCAAAAGTTGAACCTGCTCCAAAATTCTTGAACCAGTTCAAGTGGGGCAGAATGTAAAAGCTTCCTAAAAACTTGTGTTACAAACTTCTAAAGCTTCATAAGTGTTCCCACACACTCACATACCTTTCTAAAACATTGTTTACATCAACACGGAGTGTATTGAAGCATGAACACTTGAACTTCTTCAAATCTGCTTCCGATCTTGAATCTTGAAATTTTGAACCAAAATTTTACAACTCGATTGGACTTGTTTTGACAACGAAATTAGCCAATTATAAAATATATATCTCATACACACATGTACACAACACGCAGCAATGGCAGATGCATGCATAATTACAGCAGAATCCAATTCAAAACCCTTTTTAGGTACTTGTTATCGTATTTACATGAAGTTATGTTCTGTTATCATATATACATTGTGTATTCTTTAGGCAACATTTGAGGCATTTATTGGAATTCGGGATGATGAAGCAACAGCACAACTTAAACTCTTTGGCGATTATCTAAAGGTATATTCATCAACAATCGAAGTTCTGACTCCTTTTTTCATATTTTATTTGAAATAAAAATTTCATTACTCCAGGTTTTGGAAGAAAATCTTCCAATGGAAAATGTGTACAAATCAAAAGATGTTATTTCAGCTCCTATTCGTGTCATCCGACTCCTTTATAATGCAGGGGTAAGTCCTTTGTAATTGTAGAAAAAATTGTCAAACTTGTAATGTTTTCTTCTTTTGACATGCATTTGTTCACAAGCAAAGGGATTAGATACTGCCTTCAATTGTAGCTTTCAAGAGGCTTACCTTCAAAAGACAAGACAAAGTCTTAACCCAATGTCTTTGCTGTCCACAAGGCTTAAAAAATTGTAAATTCTGCTGCTATGATTGCATAATGAAGGCTTTATCTACTTATTTCTTCATGGGCTCAATATTTCTTGAGTTGAGAACATTGTCCTACGTACCAGAAGATCAGAATTGCCAAAACTATTGTGTTAAAAATTCTTGACATCTTAAAGGGAGATGTGGGAATAAGGGTTTCGCTTATCCTGTATTAATGAAGTGTAAAAGAGAACCAGAAAATAGAGTCCGGTAGAAAGGCTTGAAATGTGCAAGGTGTGTGAAGATCTGCTCATAAATTTAAAAGAGGAAAACAAAAAAAATCATTATTTTTAGAAGTGGTTATACATTTAAAACATGATCATGCAGTTTCCACAAGGTGGTGTAAATCTCCTACCTTTTAGCAGTGAGGATGTTCATTTACTTTTAGAACCACTAAAAATAAAGATGATTCTATAAGAAGCTGTATCCTCACAAGCAGGGTTATAATACCTAGCATGGATCCATTGTACCAACAGCTTATCGTTTTTTTTTTTTTTTTTTTTTCCCTCCTTGAGCAGAAACTCCCAGCAAAGAGTTACTTTGGTTTCAAAGTTAATATTGTCAACCTTTCTGACATTGAAACCTCCTTCTGAATAAGGGAAAGCAACTTACTCCATTTAAGCTGTGCAGTCTTTTTAGATTCAGATTTTCCACTCCACAAGAAATGTTTAAACTTCTTTTCTAACTGAATTTTGCAACTCCATGGAATTTTAAATCCAAACAGCTTATAGTAGAGATAAGAAAACAAAACAGGCCTCAGCAGCTCCAACCTACCTGCCATAGACAGGTTTAGAGTGCTTCAGTGGTCCAATTTGGCATTCACCTTATGGTCCTTATCCAATAAAGGTCTGAAGTTGATAGTCCTCCCACTTGTACTAGAAAGAGGCACACTCACATATTTGAATGGAAAATTTTCAACTTTGTACTGTAGTATGCCTTTAATCCTTCTCCTTCTAACAACTTTAAAGAACATGAATGAACTTTTATCCTTATTAACACATAGACCTTTAACAGCTTGAAACTTGTTGAAAATGTCATCAATATTCTTAGCATTAGAGATATTTTCCTCCACAACTATGAATAAATCATCATCATAGAAAGCATGAGCGATCTTCATACCAGCCTTGATAATTTTTTGCAATATTACCATTTAGCAAATTTCTTATTTACCTTTTAAATTTAGGGTTATTACATAACTAATGAAAATGTTCACTTTTTTGTACCTCTTGATCCTCTTTTATCTTATTTTTTATTTTTATTTTTTTTTCTGATAAGTTTGTACCTCTTGATCCTCAATCTTCGATGCATCCCTATTTATTTTTCTAGATTTACTAAATTTTCAAATTATATATTCAGTTTTCTTCCTGCATATCTTTAATCTTTTTAATTCTAAAGCTCCTCTCCAGACCTCCAATTTAGCACTTATTCCTTCTCAAGTTTCATCATTTAAAACAACCAGTTCTTCTGTAATATATACTATATAGCCATATAAAATCAGAAAAAAGTATGTAAAAATAAATAAATAAATTTGAGAGGGGGGAAAGAAAAATTCAATCTGTGGTTTTCGGTTGGAATGAATTTTTCCATCATGGCTGAAACACCGTGACCTAATTAGAAGAAAAATGGTTTCTAATGTCACTTGCACAGCTGAATGCAGAATTGGTCAATTAGATAATTCAAAGATTTATTCATTCGTAAATCAATGTGGGTAATTATATTTTACTTAATAGAAGTTATTATTTATAATATGTTAGTTTTCTTGAACTGTGCTTGTATTTTTTTTACTCTTAACTTGTGTTCCGTGTTTTACAGAATAAAAATTACTGCAAAAATCTGGGTTAGAACCTGAGGTCTGTTATTTCATTTTGTGGCAGGATGTCAAGGGTCCTCAAACTGTTGCGTTTAATCTTCCAAATGATGAACGCATTGTAAAAGATAGAGGAACATCAATGGTCATTCTTAAGAATGTTTCAGAGGCGAAGTACACTTCTTTTCTTTAAGTACATGTGATTATTTTCTATTAAATATGGATGACCAGATTTTACAGTTGGTGATTGTGTGAAATTTTTTATTAGTTGAATAGGGAAGCCCTTGATATTTCATACTTTCCTGTTAACCAGGTTCAAGCATATTCTTCAACCTATAGCTGACGTCTGTATTACAACGGAACAACGTGAATATGTAGACTTCAATTCTTTCTTCACTCACACAATTTGTCACGAGTGCTGCCATGGGATTGGACCTCATACTATAATACTTCCAAATGGTCAAAAGTCTACAGTGAGATTGGTCCGTTACATTATTTATTTTTTCTTGGTCTTTCTTTATTACTTCTTACCGACTCATTCAGTTTAAGCTTTGGGGCCTGTATGCATGCATCTCTCTCTCTTGTTAAAGAAATGTAACTTATAAATATATCTCTGTATGGGACTGCAGGAATTCAATAATAATGGAGCACTGCAGCAATTACTGAAATCTTAACATTGGAATTATTATAGAGCAGACTTAAGAGATAAGGCATTAACTCATTAGTTGCATCTCCTAAAAGTATGGATGTTTTCAAAGAGGTCTGAGATATACCTGAAGTATGGATGTTTTCAAATAGATGTGAACAGAGAAAAATCACTAATCATATGATGTGTAGTCCCAGAGTCAACAACCCATGTAGTCCAAGATATACCTGAAGAAGACAAACCTACCGAGGAAGCTGAAGCAGACCAACTGTAAGAGACTGAAAGAGTTTGAAGAGAGCCCAATTCCTACTGGCCATCTTTAAAAAAAAAAAAAATTAAACTGCCAATATTTTGCTCAATATACAACTAGTCTGTATTACCACCGACGAAAAGTCCCAAAGTACCTCTGCCCAATATTCAGCTGATCTGTATTACCACTGCCCAAAAGTCCCAAAGTACAGAAAAGCAACGAGAGAAGAATACAAATGAGTTGCAACAGGTCACTATTATACCCAAAGTCACACGATGCAAACCAGAATATTGCGAGACCAATTCAAACAGAGGAGAAACTTCTGAACAGAAACCGAGAAGACGAATTGCGATTTTGGTGCTGCGAGCAAGCTGGGTCGAAGTCAAAATGATGCAAAGTCGTAGACTGAAGCCAGACGAAGTGTGATTGTTGCTGCAATGTGTTGCGATGAAAGGGCAAGAACAAAAATAAAATAAAATGTTGCAAACCAAGTCGATAGTTGTGATTAGGGTTTGCAATTATGCAAACTAGATGAGGTCAATATATTACTGTTGCGATGCTGGTGTGATGGTGCGAAAAATTGCAGTTTAGGGTTCGTAGTTGCTGTGAGAGACGGTGCAAACGGAAACACAAAATCGATGATACGTTGTGAGACATGGCTGCTCTGAACAGAGAAGAAGAAAGAGAGGAGATATGGACAGATTGCAACTGGGAACTTGCTGATGCGAACAGATTGCTGAGGTGATTCCTATTACAGATGCAATTGCTGCCATAGGGTTGTGAATAAATTGAAGAAGAGAATAGAAGATGATGCGATGCAAGTTGGTTGACTGCAAAGTCAAACAAAGTCCAGTAGCGATTGCAATCTTAGGGCCGGAAACAAACATGCTCTGATACCATGAAAACTTGAAAGAGACTGATATGTTATTCAATTGTGTATTATTCAGTATGTAACAGCAATAATACAAGTACAAAAGAAATATAATATATGCCCTAAACTAACTAAAGAAGAGAAAATACAATATTGTCCTCAACAATAAAACTAAACCTCAAAACTAATACTCTTAACAGTCATGAGTCTATAGGATGTGCATTATTGCTTGTAAAAGATCCTCATTCATCACCTCATTTTTTTCAGCTTCATCAACCTGAGGCTTCGTTGTTTAATAATGTATCTTCTCTCACATTCAGCTGAAATTGACTCATCAATTGCCAAAATGTGTTATATTGCTTTTTGGGGGGCTTTCAGAATTCATGTGTGGAATACTTGAGTGCTCATGTATTAACACTTAGTGTGAAATATGATGACAAATAATGTCTTAGGAAAATTGTGAGGGTAGATCTAACTAGTATCACATCCCTACTGTTTCGTATTTTTCAATCCATTGAACTGTAACTTTTTAATTTCATGGTAGAGGCATCATGATGTTGCCAGGGGCTTATTTGTTATTTCTTATATAATGTTGGGTGCTTATGTGTAATTTTTGAATCTTGTTAGTAAAAATAGAATGTGATGGAAGGATGAAAGCATTCTTTCTCTCTTTCCCATCTCTTTCTCTTTTTTCTCTCTTTCTTCTCTTCTTCTTCTTCATCTTCTTCTACTTGACTCTTGTTTTGATTCTCTTAAAGTCAACATGGTATCAGAGCATGGTTTGTAGAGCTCTAGGGTGTGTAGTTGAAACGCTAGGGCAAGTTTGTGTTTTCCCTAGTGGGTGTGAAGGGTTTTGAAGAGATTCCAAGGTGGGATTTGTTTACAAGGAAGTAGTGTTAATCACATCCACATGCATGGTCTCAAGTGGTGGTTTTTTTTCGTGTCTGTGTGGTTCTACAACAACGGCTTTCTCTTCGTCATTCGCGATTCTGGTATGGTCTACTTTGTTGCTTTCTAGGGTTTGTGTGGTGACTGTGTGGTCATTTTTTTATGCATCTCAGAAGACAGTAATATATTTTTTTGATGTTTGTGTGTTAGAGGGGTGGTTCTCTTGTTCTGTTTCTGAGGAGCGTATACCCAGAAATTGTTTGATAAAATGTCTAACTCATAGGTGACTTCAAAATAGGCGGTCTTCTTCTAGTTTGACTCCAGTGTTGGGAGGTAGTAGTGATCACCATCCAAGCCTTTGTATTACGACTGTTATGCTGGATGAGACGAACTATATGAAGTGGACTCAATCTGCTCATATGCATATAACTAGACCTAGGATGATCCCCATGTGGAAATGACTATCACATACCCTCCAAGAGCGATCCTGAATTCAAAGAGTGGATTGCAAATTATGCACTAGTTATGACGTGGTTGTTACAGTCAATGCAACCACAGATCTGCAAGGGGTTTCTGTTTGTGAAAGTAGCTAAAGAGCTATGGGATGCTATGAAAGAGACATTCTTCGGCTGATAATTTTGCAAAAGTGTATGAGCTTCAACAAGAGATTTCAAGATTCAAGCAGGAAGACCAAACTCTTGCTACGTATTACCACACTCTGCGCGGGAAATGGGAAAAGTTAGATCACTACCAAGACTATATACCTGTGTGTGCAGTTGATGTTAAAACATTTCAGGCTATGGTAGAAAAGAATCGAATCTATGAGTTCTTGGATGGTCTGTATTCGAAATACGAGCATGCCAGGGTACAAGTGTTAGGCTGGCATCCATCTCCTAATTCTATTAGAGATTTGTTTTCTTACATCCAAACTTAGGAGAGTAGAATGAAGGCTATGTCTGCACATATATGCACTAAACCTCAGCCAGAAGTACCATTGTTTGAAAGGTTTGCTCTTGCCACACAACAATGGAAACCCTCCAAAAGGAGGGAAGCAGGATGAGAAGAGTAAGTTGAGGTTTGATCACTGGAAATACGCTCCACACTAGGGAAACATGCTAGAATCTACATGGTCACCCTACTCGAGCTCCTGCTCATGCGAATGCTAGGCTAAGGCTTGGTCTATTTAGGAGGTGATCTACGGCACATGTTACAGCACATGAGACAGCTTCTACTGGTCATGTCTTCTCAGGGCCACTGAATTCTTTATCCATAGTTGAAGTTGATGCTCTTCGACATTTGCTTGTTCAAAATGCCTACACTTCCACCTCTAACTTTGCTCAGACAAGTACCTCTTATTCGTCACATCATGTTTCAACATTATCTGGTGGGCCACCCTGGGTCGTTGATTCAAGAGCCATTGATCACATGATTGGTATGCCCTCTGATTTCTCTTCATACAGTTTATGTTGTGGTAGGGATAAGGTTAGAGTCACTGATGGCACCTTCTCCATGTCCCTAATCTTATCTTATCCTAATCTTACCTTATCCTCTTTTCTCCATGTCACTGATAAGGTTAGTTTCTACCTCTCCTAATCTTACCTTATCCTCTTTTCTTCATGTCCCAAAGTTTACAAATAACCTCCTCTTTGTCAGTCACGTTACAAAAGGCTTGAATTGTAGTGTAACCTTTTTTCCATCTCCCTGTGTGTTTTTGGACTTGGACACGGGGAAGACGATTGGGAGTGGACGTAAGGACAATGGCTTGTATTTGTTGAACGCAAGGCCAACCTTTTATTATGGTGCAAATCAATCTAGTGTTAGGAATAGTAATGTCATAAAAGATCTGTTAATGCGATGGCATAATAAACTCGATCATTTACGTATTCCTGTTTTGAAGCATGTGCTTCCCCAGTTTGCTTCTGTTAAATCTTTTAAGTTAAATTGTGAAACATAAACAATGTTGTGTTTCTTATTTTACTAGTATTAATGAAAGTACTGCTCCTTTGCAACGTGTTCATTATGATGTGTGGGGTCCTGAATGTACTACTTCATTACTTGTTTTTCTTTATTTTGTTGTGTTTGTTGATGATCTTATGAAAACCAATGATGAAGTTCGTTCCATTTTTAAAACCTTTCATAAGATGTACTCAGTTTGGTTGTCCCCTCAAAATCCTTCGATCTGATAATGGAGGAGAGTTTATGTATAGTGGTCTTGCCTCCTTTTTTGCTAATAACGGGATTGTCCATCAAACCTCCTTTGTTGATACACCACAACAGAACGGTGTAGTTGAAAGAAAACATTGTCATATTACGGAGCTGACCCGTTCTCTTCTAATTAGGATAGGAGTGCCTATAAGTTATTGGGCTGATGCAACCTTAACAGTTGCAAACATTATCAATCACATGCCTTCTAGGGTTCTTGGCCATCAATCCCCCTTCTCTGTTTTACACCATCACACTGCCTTGTTTGCTGCCCCTTTGAAAGTGTTTGGTTGTGTTTTCTTATGTTCACATTTATCATCGCAAGGACAAAATAGACCCTAAGGCAATCCAATTTGTCTATCTTGGATGCTCCGCCACTAGAAAGGGTATCGGTGTTATAATCCTACCACTTGTCATCGGTTTGTCTCTATGGATGCTACATTCTTTGAGTCTGTTTCCCTTTTTTTTTTTTTTTACACTGCTTGGGATTCTTTATAGGGGGAGACTGCTATTGATGTAGAGAATCCATCTTCCATTCAAAGGGAATGGCCCCTTCCATCGCCTGTTCCCATTCAGGGGGAGGTTCCCATTTCGGAGGAGCTTCTTACTGAAGTGCCTATGTCTGATCCTCCTAACACTAATGATTTGCAGCAGGGAAAGCTGCCAATTGTCTATACTAGGAGGGCAAAAGAAGTCACAAACTCAGCCCAAAACCACGATGTCACCCTCGATCCAGGTAATCCCACAATGATACTCTTGATTTTCTTCCCAATAGCATTTCTGTTGATATTGATGTCCCTATTGCCTATTGTAAGGGTGTTTGTAGTTGTACAAAACGAATCAATCCAATGAAATTGTATTGTGACAACAAGGCTACTATTAGCATTGTCCACAATCCAAATCAACATGACACGAGAAAGCATATTGAAGTCGATTGACACTTCATCAAGGAAAAACTTCATCTTGGGCTGATTTGTACTCCATACGTCAACACACATGATCATGTTTTGACTATGGGTGTGAGCAAGACTTGCTTGCAAAATACGTTAGTCAAGTTTACCTCCGGAAAAAAAATATATGTTAGTCAAGCTGGGCATGATAGATATCATAAAATATGTTAAGGGCTTATTGTTATTAGTTATATAATGTTGGGTGCTTATGATTAATTTCTGAAACTTGGTAGTATAAATAGAATCTGGTGGAAGAATGAAAGCATTCTTTGATTCCTTCTCTCTTTCCCCATCTCTCTTTCTTTTTCTCTCCTCCTCTTTCTTTTCTTCTTCATCTTTTACTTTTACTCTTGTTATGATTCTCTCATAAAGTCAACACATGACTTACAATATCAACTCTTTAAGTGACCTATGCTTGTATGGACTTCATCCTTTACAATTTAATGCACTATTGGTAACTAACTTCTCAGCTGTGAATTTGTTGTGTTTCGTAATGGAAGTGTTTACAGGTCTTTCTCCTAGCATGGTTAATAGAAATCATCCAAAGAAGACTGAATCTATAAAGGAAAAAGAAACAAGAACAAAAAGATATTGAACAACCTTCCTGAATTTGCTATTTTTGTTAGAATGCTTTTGAAAAACCATTTGTGATCTCCATGTTTATACTTCTGTTTAATGTCTCAGGAACTGCAAGAACTCCACTCAGCTTTGGAAGAAGCTAAAGCTGATATTGTTGGCCTTTGGGCCCTAAAATTTCTAATTGGCCAGGTCAGTAACTAGATATTTAAATGAATGTTGCTCTATATTCCTAGATCTTGTGTATGAGATAAAACTGGCGCACAAATTTTTTTTATGTTATATATTCTTGCTCCCAGTAAAGTTTTAACTTATCAGAAAGAGTAATCAACTCTCTTATCCCCCACCCCCTTCCCTTCTTTCTCTAGAAGCCACGCTACTTAAATTTTTTGTTATTTTAGTTTTACATGCCTATCTTTTAATAGTTGTACAAATGCCCCTACAAAATAATAAAAATACCCTTGATCTTAAAACCCAGAAGCATGTTTACACAACTTGTGTGTTTCAAAAGGTGAAAACTCAACTAATAAAAATATAAATGTATTGAATGGAAATATTATCAATCAACATCTATATTTTTGTATTTATTATTTTGGTTCAAATTTTTTAAAAATTTATTATTATTCAAGGTCACCCCCACTAAAAAAAAATTTGGGTCAATCACTGAGCATTTTTTATTTATTTTATGTATTCAGTTTTTACATCATTATTTGTGTTGTATTTTAGATTGTTGTGATGTATTCAGTTTTTATTTTAAGTTTTATCTTTTAAATTCAGCGGGCTAATGATTACTCATTAATTTTGGGTATTGAATAAATATGACAACTTGATGAGGGGTATCCACATCCATTTAAGTTGTCATATTCTGGGCACGTGACTACTTTAATGACGTTGCATTTTCTTTTTCCTGGATGGGGTGATTTTATAAAATAAAAGAAAAAGAGAATAGAGTACAAGATAACAAAGTAGAGGCATATCCCTACAGAGACATCAGCAACTGGTCATGGAAAGAAACCATTTCCAGTACAAAAAACAAATGAGAATGAAACAAAAAGAATACAACAGAAAAACTATCATAGAGGCAAAAGGTCTTCAACTGATAAGCCTATGATGGCAATTGTCTCCATAAAAGCATCAATACCAAGCTGGGAAGCACTCCTAACATCTCCACCAAGAACCTTGCAACTCCTTTCCTTCCAAAGATTCCATATAACAATGACAAAGGAACACTTGATGATCTTATCTCTATGAGAATTCCCTTTAGCAACCTGAAGCACCCATTCAGCCATACTAAGATTGGAGTTCTGAAACCAATAGAGACTTCCTTGATTAAACCATCCTTGATAGTACTCCAGAACTTCTGATAAAACCTTGCAGGGATACCACCTGGACCTGTAGCTTTGTCAAGGCATGACATGGCATTTTAGCCTATAGGATTTTGACACGTAAGGGAAAACCAGGGGTTAGGATCTTATAGTTCTAACATGTTAGAGGCATTCGGTTGGGTATTTGGAAGAACTCTACAGTCTACTCTCTCTCTCTCCCTCTCCCTCCCTCCCTCCTGTTCTCTAGCTTTTCTACAACTCCATCTCTTTAACATCTTCTCTCAACTTAGTTAGGCTGTTAAGCAGTCTTCCTTGAACAAGTAGTACTTCCATGAGCTCATAGAAGTCAACACCACGAGTTTGGTAAGATCTTTCCTATACATTACCTATTATATATAACCTTTCCCCTTCACAGGCATTTTGGACTTGGTTTCTCTTGTGCTTATGGTATTTACTTTGTTGACACATTTTGTTTGCACATAATGGACTTGAACTTGATTTTTCAAGAGTTGTATGATAAAGGTCTGCTTGCAAAAATAATTACTGGTCAATTCCCATTGCGATTTAATTGTTCTTGTTTCTCCTTTCTTGGGGTGATTATAGCATGCTTAATTGAGTCGTGGTGTTAGAGGCTTTAGTTTTCAAATAATGCATTCCATTAAATTACAGACGTCTTTCACTGATCCACCATGCATGTGGAAAGTCAAAAGAATAGATAGTGCTGAGAAATATAGTGGATATCTGTTCTGGCTGTCTTCATGTCTCCATTCGGGCTTTTTGGTTGTTGGTGTTATTTGTGTTGTACCTTAGCATATTCCGTTTGCCTGATTCTCTTGGCTCATGACTCATCATCATCAACAAAAAGCCACTGTCATTCCTTACCATATATGTTTTTAGATCAAAGATTGGAACTATTGTTTGTGAACGTGCATTGATTGGTTGGGATTTTGGCTTAATGGTGGTAACTGATGTGGGCCAAACCCCCTGTAGTTTGCTCTTTGCGGACGATAGCATTGTTTTTTGTGATGCAGGGGAGGACCAGTTGAGGCACTTGAGATTTGTTTTGATTTGTTTTCAAGCGATCTCTGGTCTTAAGATTAACGTCGGTAAGAGTGAGTTAGTCCCATTTGGGGTGGTTGAGGAGATCCATAGATACGCTGATATTCTGAGGAGTGGGGTTGCCTCATACCAATTTGTTATTTGGGATTGCCTTTGGGAGCATCATCGAGGAGGACTTACATTTGGGACCTAGTGGTTGTGCACTTTGAGTGGAGGGTTGTTGGCTGGAAGAAGCAGTTCCTTTGAAAGGGGGGTGTCTAACTCTTATGAAGAGCACGCTTTCGAATCTTCCAACTTATTTCATATCCCTTTTTCCAATGCCTATCTCAGTTGTCAGGAGACTAGAGAAGATCTAGAGGAGTTTTTTGGGGGGTTGTATGGGAGATGAGTTTAAATACCACTTGGTGAACTGGGAAAAGGTGTGGACCCCTATTCAGATAGGGGGCTTGGGAATTAGGAGGCTGGAGTTGTTCAACAAGGGAGATTTATGCAAGAGAGGTTCAGATTGTGGAGGAGTGTTATTGCTTGCCAGAGCGGGGAGGGAGATGAGGGGTGGTTATCTAGGGAGGTGAGGTCCCCCCTTCAGGGGTGGAGGTTTGGAATCTCATTCGGAAGGGTTGGGGTGAGTTGTTGGGGTGAGTTTTTCAAATGCATTTGCTTCAGGGTTAGGAGCGGGAGGCATTTCAGATTTTGGGAGGATATCTGGTGTGGGGATACTGATATGGCCCGCAGGTATCCACAGGTTTTCAGGATTGCTACGAACAGACACACATGGATCGCTGACTGTTATCACCTTGATAATGGAAGGATGATTTGGGGTGTTGTGCAGTTTCGGAGAGAGTTCCATGATTGGGAGGTTGCGGAGGTAGCAGAGTTGGCATTGTCATATAGTCAGGTGATGGAGGGGGAGGGGATGGATGAGATGGTTTGGATGGATTCCCTGAGAGGGGTGTTCTCAGTCCGTTCTTTTTACCAGAGCTTGTTAGAGAGTCTGGGTCCGTCATTCCCTTGGAAGGCCATCTGGAAATTGAAAGCCCCTTATGGTGGGGCTTGTGGCGTGAGAGTCTGTGTCCGTCTTTTTTCTTTGGGTAAATGGGCGAAATTGTAAATCTATGGGGGACTTGTGGATTTTGTTGATAGTTTGAGATTATAAGCGGCCGTGTTTGGCCCCTTGTGTTTTATTGGGAGCATTCCCCTCTTGAGCACCTTTTAATGAATCTTTACTTGTATTAAAAAAATACACACACACACACAGCAGTATCTAAAATTTTCCCAAGATATTTCTAGTCTCAGATATGCAACTGGAGGTTGAAGGATTTCGGGTCTATTTTCAGTTAGTCCCTGATGCTCAATTTATTTTATTGTAGACACCTGTTTTAGGAACCTTAAGTTGTGTAGTTTAATGCCAATACTGATATCCCCTTTTTTTTTTTTTTTTTTTTTTTTTTTTCCTGATGGTGACTAGGATTTGCTTCCAAAGGATCTAGTCAAGTCCATGTACGTCTCTTTCCTTGCAGGATGCTTCCGCTCAGTACGTTTTGGATTGGAGGAAGCTCATGGGTAAGCTTTATTTATCCTGCTTTAATCCACTGCACACTGTTGACTTCACCAAGCATTGTAATTCACTGAATATTATCAGAAAAGGACAAGCACTGCAGTTTAACTGGTTATTTGAGAAAGGAGCTTTTATTTTGCATCCTGATGAAACGTTTTCTGTTGACTTTGCTAAGGTATAGCTTCTTCAAATTTATTCTTATTGAATTATTCTCTTATATTGAAATAATAGAGGCATAAATTTTATTCTCTCCTCTTCTTCTTCGTTTTTTTCTTTTTTTTTTTTTTGAAAAAGGTTGAAGGTGTAGTTGAAAGCTTGAGTAGGGAGATTCTTACCATACAGGCAAAAGGTGACAAAGATGCAGCAAAAAGGCTTCTCGATGAATATTGTAAACTGACACGACCATTGAAAGTTGCATTGGAAAAGTTGGAAAAGATTCAGGTGTGGGATTTAATGTTTATTAGTTGCTGATGCATTAGTCTAGATTGAATTGGAATTGTTTCAAATGTGGAAGATGTCATACCTCACCTATAAAACTTTATTTATTTATTTTTATACCTCACCTATAAAACATAAGTCTATTGCCACAAAATTGGATTTCGCAAGGGGCTAGTTATGCTTAGACTCCCAATGTTTGTAATTTGTAGTGAGAGTTGATTATGTAACTCAACATGTCATTCCATGTGAAGTAGGTAGGGCAAGTTGGTCAGTGATAGAATCTGGTAAAAATATATATATATATATTTATTTTTTTCCCCTCATGTCCGTCATTGATGAATATGAATCCTCAAACCAAAAGGCTATAATAATTTTCGGGGTCTTCAAATTAGTTGAAGTCATAATAAGGTAGCCATAAGGGAACTTGTGGCTAGATTGAATCCGTCATGATGGAAACGCCCTCTTTCCCCAACCATGGGAAAATACCTACTCCTAACAAAATGAAAAGCAGAGAGCTCCCTAACGAAAACAAAGCGAGCCACGCTTTTCAGCTTGCATCAAATAAAATCTTGACTAATAGGGGCTAGACCCTAACATTTTTCTGCTGGCCCTACCACTTGTGTCCTTAGAAAAAGAAATCCAGCAAGGTCTTTGGCAGCCAATCCCTTTCTATTTCTATATCTCTAGCCGTTCTCTCTCATTGTTGACCAACCAGTGCTCTCTCTCTCTCTCTCTGACATTTTCAGTTTATTTATTTTATTTTTCTTTCTTCCTTAGCCACACTTCAACACTCCTAGGGCTTTCTCTCTCTTTAA